GTGACATCAAGTCAGGTGCGTCTCCACTCTTCCATCTTTGATAAGATAAGGATAAGGGCGGACTATCTTATCTAAGCGCTACACGCACTTAGAGATGCGATAAGATTAAGTCCGATCGGTGATTAGTAAGTAAGTAATCATGATGACATAGTCCGATCGGACTTAGTCATTATCGGAACAAAGCTCCGGCCGCGTTCGGCATCGTAAGCATAATTGACCTTATCTCCTGTGCCGTCGGATAGACAGACGGCAAAGAGATAAGCACTTCCCGAAAGGGATGCACTAAGCAGAGTCCTGATGAGCTATAAAAGGCGAAACGGGACGGGACGTTGTAGCACACAACGCCCCCGTTGACTCAGCTCGCCTAACCCACCCTCAACCCTAACCGGTCGATCTCACCTCGCTTCGCTCGGTTTCGATCTCCCTCCCTAACCCTAACCCCTGGGATCATGGGCGCTAATCAGTCACGTGTGTTACCCTAGACCACCTTCCTGATTAGGTATCCACTGGGGTTAGGGGCCCCCCTGGGGTTAGGGGTTCCCTAGGGTTTAACCCCTGCATCCTAGGGTTTATTTTGCCCTAGGGTCGGCCCACCAGACGATATCCCATAACCCTCCGTCTCGCGAGGTGGTAACTGGCCAGAAGTGGGGGGGGGGGGCGCTTGCGGTTTCCGGAAATGGCAGGTCTCTTTCGAGCGCCGTGGCCATGCGAGACCATTATTTGCTTGGTTTGGTGATGAAAGTTGCCACGAAGATGTCGAGGCAACTTCGGGGTCCCCTGATTTATCTTCGTGGTCAACACGAAGAACCGGGCGCATAGTGACTCAAAAGCGCCCCAAAGCCAACGAATGGACAGATCCCCCAAGCTATCCCTGATAGATAACGAGCGACGATGTCTCCGCGCGGTCATAGCTACTCGTTGAGTGAGGCCGACACGGGCGCTTATATGATCTCTTGTTTGCCGTGGCCAGCGGCTCAGAATTTCAACTTGATCTCGAACCACGACCATGCCTGACGTCGACTACATATTCTTCTATCCTCATCCCGACGGTGCCTACGACATCGTCGTAACCGTTGCCGCTGCCGGTACCTTCCGCTTGAGCCATTTGTGGAAACTGGCCAGGGAACAGGAACCGAGTGTCGCTAGCCACCTTGGCGCAGCAAAATGCACGTTCTACGTTGTACGTCCATCGTTTTGGTCCGCCCCAAGCGGTCGTTTTATATCCCCCGCTCCCGTAGCCCTCAGATTTGTTGATCGAGCCGGGCACCACATTGCTCTCTCGCAGCCGACAATGGCTTCTGCAGCACCGTCAGGACGACGACAAGGTGGTCAGGCTTATCAAAGAGGTCCGTACAATTTTCCCTGATGGCCCATCTCCCGACTTGGTGCATTTTCTGGTTGTCACAGAAGAAGGTAAGCCCGCTACGTGGGTATCATCGCGGTCCGCCTCATACGTGCTCTAGTCCTAGAGAGTCTGGATGAACTGGGAACCCTCCAGGACAAGGCGCTCAGAGGTACGTCCGCCATTTGCGTGTCGACTCTAGTCCTCGTGTCGAAAATACCTCGCCAGAGTGTGAAAAGCGCACTGAGTCAATTCGGAACGATGTTCCCCGGCCCTCTGCTGGTGTCTCGGATTTTGCGGGCGTGCAAAACGTTATTGTCAAAAATGCCGACAAGTTTCATGCTGGGCGACCTGCCGGAAACTATGGTCCCCCTGCTTCCCTCTTCAACCATGCTTTGGGCCGGTTTGACTATCATCTGCGCCACCTGGACGATGACATCCCTGAGATTGATCCTCCTCCGGCACTCATCCGACTGGTGCATTCACTCATGGCAGCCGGGGCGCGCAGCTATCCAGATGCCCGAGTGGAGGCTATCAAGACTTCGCTCAGCGAGATTTTCGCTAAGGAGTTGCATTGGGAACCTTCCAAAACACTTTACGGCGTTGCCCCAGATGCTATCAGTGTGGACAACCCGCCCTTCGTTGTGGTGGAGGTGAAGAACGAGGTTGGTCTCAAAGGTGACGCCTCCCTACAAGCAGGACTATCGTACACGCACATCGCAACTGCACCTCAGTTCAAGGTTCGATCGTTCTACTATCTCCGTCATCGTCATGAGTCTGTATTGATGTGAAGTGTAGGCGTTACGGAGACGATCGAACTATCCTGCCATCCTCTGTGGTATCATGGGCAACCTGCTTGAAATCGGGGTTGCGATATATACCGACGGGACTTACTACAATTTGCTGTTGTCTGAGCGTCTGCACTTGGGATTCCACTCTGCGAAGAACGTTCTCCGTCTTTCTCGAGCATTCGCGGCCACTCGAAGCGCCATGTCTCACCTCACAGCGTTCTACAAACAACTCAACGCCGCCCCACCTCCCCAAGGTAGTATTGCTCATCTGTTCCCCTCGCCCTTACAGATCCCTTCCTACACTGATTTCGTACCGGCCCTCACCTTTACGCACCGGCTGACACCATCAGGCCAGGCTGTTTTATTGGCCAAAACCGAAAGAGAACGACAGTCGGGCATTTACCTCGCCACCATGCCCCGGATGTCTTCAAACGTCGGTGAGGATCGGATGGTGTCCTCGTCGTCTCGTGACGCACCTGCCGATAGCGTCGAGGTAGTCGTGAAGTTCACCGAGCGATATCATCCGGACGCGCACAAACTGCTTGCGGCCGGGCACCTAGCGCCAGCGCTGCACGCCTGTGTCCCGGTATACGGCGACTTATTCATGGTCGTGATGGACCGCGTCCACGGCACGATAGCCTGGGAACCAGCCACGCGGAACGAGCTCCTGCCACATCGCATCTACGAGGATGTCCGGCGTGCCATTGCGCTGCTCCACTCGCACGACCTCGTCTTCGGCGACCTCCGTACCCCGAACATCATGGTTGTCCCTGGCGGATCTGGCCCCGACGACGGACCTCAGGGTATGCTTATCGACTTTGACTGGGTCGGAACGCATGGTCGTAGTAGATATCCCGCTTCTTTGGACGAGGGTCTTCCGGACTGGGGGACAAGCGGTATCCAGCGACACGGGATCATGGACAAGGCACACGATAACGCGATGTTAGATCGGTTTGAGAAGCAATGCCATCCGGCCGGTGTACCAGTATAATACATTTTCGCCACCCTTCCTATTGTAGTTCATCCTCGTTTTGTCCACGCGAATCAATGGCATGTTGAAATTGCAAGCCATGGACGATACATTCCGTCGACCTCCGCACTATACGTAGCAACCTGCCGTCGAGAAGAGGGCGGTAGCCATGAATCGACGCTGTTCAATACAATAGCGCATAGTCAACTGAAGCCGTCATCTGTGTACTCGGCCAAAATAGCGTGCTCGGGACCGTCTTCCGTATTGAGTACTATTGAGTTCTGATCTTCATCCTTAAGGCTATTCCCAGCTTGGGGCGACAGAGGTGGTGGACATCTGCACTATCCAGTGCGCGATGGGGCGGATACGGGATCGTAATGAGTAGGCAGTAATTGGCCGTAGTGGCGAGCTCTCGCGTGGATTGTATATGGAGGAACCAGACGAGCCAGAAGCTTCGTAGTCGCCTAAATATTGTCGCCCCTCCTGCCCATGTTAGGCGCTGGCTCGTATGGCTCCAGTTCTGTACCAGTCCAACTTGGGGTTTCTCATAGACATCTGGCAAGAGCTGACCGTTCTACACGAGCTCGGTTTCGGACCAGCTCGACGTTACCTTCAACAGCCGCCACTGGTTGCAAAGACTCCATGAGCACTTTGTGGCTACTCGGAAGCAACTTCGTACCGCTACATACTGGATGCGTTACGAAGTCAACCACGACACACAACAGTTCGCGAATTAGCCACGAATTCACGATACGAATTTGTGGTTTTTCGATATTGATTCCTGATTTTCACGAACTTTTGGGCCCGTAGTGCTACATCATATGAAGGAAGCAAGGGGCGATAAATACGGCCAATAGCTGAAACAGTGGCCGCTATCAATCACGCGAATGACTATCTCGTCTAAGTCACCTACGCGAACAAAGATCATAGGGGTTGAAGCTACGGCTCAGAGACGCACGAAAGGCTCCTTCCGTGCCCGCGCATGTCAATTACCCTAGCGGTTTCTGTTTGTATACCTCGACGCTCTATATCATGCATCCCAACATCAACCATTCCTTGTCCAGGCCCAATGCAGTGTCGCCCCTTAGCCTCGATAGTACCTCGTCGGTACAAATGTCATTGTCGTCAGGACCGCTTTTCGCAGCGTGTTTCTGACATCTACCTCGACTTCCGTACCCTTCTTATGCCATCCGCTGTTGACATAGCCCATCGCAATGTTCTTCCCAAGCGAAGGCGAGGGTATGCCATATGTTACGGAACCTGTATGCGAGTCGTCAGCACGAACAAGGAGGCATCTAGTGAGCTCAGCTTTTTGTCCGTTGCTAGATGGCACAAATATCTTCGCACTCTCTATGTAAAAGCGATACCGTACGTTTAGCGCGAACTTAACAGAGGAAGAATAACAGATGATCTCACGCCAGGCAGGAGCACCGTCAACTATCATACCAACTCGCCTCCTTGGAGGACCCTCTCTCAAATGTTTCCTCACACCGTCCGCGCCGATGAACTGGCCATTCTCCCGCCTTTCCTTGCCTATAAGAGCGGGTCGAGATGTAGCCTATGAGAAGCCGGAGGATGGGTTTTGCTTACCGATGACCCACGTCAAACCGGCTTCCACGGGTGTCGTGTCCTCGTCGAGATCCTGCCCATACAAGCACATAGCTGCCTCGAGACGCAGACTGTCTCGCGCACCAAGACCAGTGAGCTGAACGGGTGGCTTCGAGAGTTACTGCGCCACCTCGACCGTTTGCGTAGGCGGTAGCGGGGCAGCATCACCAATGATATAGGTGTTTGACGAAGGTCCAGAAATTCTCAGCGATAGATGCATACCTCGAAACCGTCCTCGCCCGTGTATCCGCCTCGCGCAACGTGTAGGTTAAAGCCTTCGATCGGGACGAACGCGCTCCGCCTGAATGTGAGTTCGCGTAGGTCAAACGAAGTCAAGCCCTGCAGGTACTGCGCTGCCTCTGGTCCTAAAGTAGATGTCATACATCAGAGCGCTGCAAGCCTCAATTGCGGATGCGACATGCCTTGAAGCGCAAGCAGGCCCCAATCCTCAAGCACTTCATGCTCGACCTTTCCCTCCGCCTTTGCCTTCTCGCTAGTATTCCATTCTTCCAGCCTCTCCTTAAACCAGGCGAGGTCACGGTCACGGCGGCCGGCGTTTGTCACGACGTAGAACGCGTCGTCCGCGTGCTTGGTGATCACAGTATCGTCGATAATGCCGCTGCGCTCGTCGAGGGGCACAGAGAAGGTAAAAGTATAAGGTGCGAGAGACTTGAGGGATGAGGGTGTGAGCCATTCGAGGAATGCGGTTACAGTGGGTCAGCGGAAACTAGTCGAGAACATTAATCACGGATCGCAGGACGTCGGAACGGAGGGCCGTACTTTGACTGCACCATGTGCCCGACGTCGAACAGTCCGACAGAATTACGGACATGGTGATGACTCGCAACTACAGGAGGCGTGATTTTTACAAGACTTGAAAGAGTGACATGCGAGACGCACCTGCCCCTCCATTACCGTAGGAAAGCGGCATGGAGTACCCTGCGAAGGGGACCATCTTCGCGTCATTTGAGACATGGAAGTCGTACAGTCTTCCTAAGCTGCGCCTCATCCGGTCAGTCATTTGAGCCATACACGCAGGTTGTGGGCCACATACCGGAGTGTCTGCTGAGGTCGCCATCCATTGCACACTCGAGATATGACGGCCGCTTCGCGCGCCCGAGCCTGCGCGCGACAGGGCACATCTGGATAGGATGGTGTGAGGCCTGAGACGCATTTCGGAGGAGGCCCAAGACGAGCGGTTGGAAATAAGGAAAGTGGTGTGTGGGGTGGTTGGACGACGGGCTTGCCAGGCGGAGGCACTCTTGAGCGCGTCTATCTGATCTCTCCTTGCATCCCATGTTTGCAACTACGGATTACTTGAATCGATTACATAGATGGAGCTCGACGCGATGCCATCCCGTTGAATTCGAGGGCGGACTGGAGCTTGATGCGCCCCTTGGGAGAGTCGGTCTTAGCATAAGCCTCCTCGGCGGCATTAAGGCCGTTGACGTAGGTCTGATGGTGCTTCTTGTGGTGAAGCTCCATGATCTGACCCGAAATGTGCGGCTCGAGAACCTGTGCGCGGGATATCAATCAGGACGAGCGGAGGGTATTGATGATAGGAAGACGGGCACGTACATTATATGGATAGTCGAGCTTGGGAAGGGTGTGCACACCACGCGACGTAGTTGGAACACGCGCGACGGGACGGCTAGCACGGACAGCAAAGCGAGCGGTGGTGGTGAGCACGGACATGGTGAACACTGATCAAGACGAACGAGGCGTCGAGGAGGGGAATATACCTATATTGAGCGTATGCTCACTGCAACAGTCACACAACAGACGTCATCGCTCGCCACGTGTGCGCTGTTCGCGGTTGTTCCGCCTCGGACTTGGTCGAACCGCTACCCCCACATCATCCTCTTCAATAACCTGCAACACCTGCAACACAGCCGCGAGTGTCTGCTCAGAAGAGTACCTTTATTGTCCACGCCCCTGCTTATCAACCATAGAACGGACGGACCGGTCAAGACGCGCCCTGCCGTATGTTCTCCGAATGCCAAACGAAGTCTCCAGACGAGTCCGTCGAGCTAGCCTGCGGCCATAAGATTGTGGGACCTGACGCGCATCCATAGTGTTTAGCGGCAGCGGCCTGACGCGATTGTGACTCACATATCGTAATTCAGACAGAGTGCTAGCTTACAGTAACTCAGCGACTACCCATCGCGTGCCCTTCGGTGTCCCTTGGAGTTTCCAGCCGAGTCTCCGTGCTGTAGGAAGGATGCGGTCATAATCATGTTTACTGCAATCTCCTTGTGAATGCGAAGCTTCATGGTTAACGCGCTCCGTGTTTACTGAGTTGGGGAAAGCGGGGACATACAGAGGTAGTTTTCGGCGACAAAGGCGATGGACTCGTCCGTCGGTAACCAGGTAGCGTACACAGTCACGGGCAGGTGCGAAGGCTAGGGCGGGTCTCCTTGGTAGCAAATCCGTGCACGTAGTAGTTGCCGAAGCTCGCATGCCGCTATTGCTACTGAGCGTGAGCGACGAACTATCAAGTGTAGGATCTTGCGGCGAATATGCCGATAAGGACGGCGAGAGTAGCGAGACAAAGAGCAAGCCATCTCAGAGACGCTGGTCGCTTTTTCAGAGCGCGGAAGGAGAAGGAAGGTTACATCGGAATGAAACACGGACAGTACGATGATGGGAGAATATACTTTGCGACCGCTACTGCCCACTACGAGGTCGCCCTCCCTCGTAAGTGAACAGCATGGCCAGCCGCGTGAAACCAGTGATGAAGCTGCCGAGCGAAGAGGAGAGAGCGTAGCTGAGCAAACACATATGCGAGAAGAAGAGGACGAGATCTCCAGCCCTACTACGGCTGCGAGACCCTGTAGCGCCGACTGGACAACTCGCAGCTCAAGCGCTTCGGGCGATACATTACGCACCGATGACTGCTTGCAAACGTACAAACATAGAGCTCCTTGACAACAACTATCCATAGCCGAGACCGCTAATCGGTTATCTGGAAATATTCAAACGGATCATACACTCCCGTGTTCTCGACCTATTGCACGGACCGTCAGATTGCATCCTGAAGATCAAGTCAAGCACGCACCCAGTCAATAATAACTCCAAGAATCCAGTCGAGATTGGACAAGTCGTCGTTGATCTGGTAAACTTCAGTCCTAGCGTAGTAACTCGCTTGTTCGCCTCGCTTGTAGGCGAAAAAGATCCAGTGCTCGCCCGTAGTGGCAGCGCCACGCATGACCTCTTCGCCTCTTTTGACGAGGTCGTCCACGACCAATCAGCACATGACAGATTGTGACATGGGGTCATTCTACTCACCCAGATTGGCGACACCACGACGCCATGGCTAGAATACACTGCGGAACGCCATTCTCGAGCTGTTGGAAGGTTTTCGCCTCGAAGATATTCACAGACCCTAACTTCCTGAAGGTCGCATCGTCCAACGCATCCATGGGCGTGCGCAAGATCCGTGTGTGGGCTACGCAATAGAATAAGCGGCGTCAGCTAACACCAGATCTTAGCATTCAGAGGAACATTCTCATCTGACATTTCGTGGGGTACTTAGCGAGAATGTAATCAACGATTCCCCCGAAGCTGCGCTTCTCGTGCAGCTTCACCGAACGGATTGGGTACTCAGTGAGAATATACATACGCTCCACGTCATTGCTGAGGACGGTGGCCAGGCGAAGTAGGATGATGTCTGTGAGGATACGACAACCGGCCTCAGTCTAATGTATAAGTTTCACGGTAAGCAACAGGCTGCAGACTGAATACGCTGATGCTCACCGATCGGGAAACGTGGCCAAAGACAACCTTGATCAATTGTTTGGTCGCCTCGAGTGTTAGGAAGTTATCTTCGACCTCCACGGCGCCGCGCTCGCAAGCTTTCTCCTTACCGTCGGACTTGAAATCGAGCCAGAGAGCGTACACCTTCATCTCTCGTAGGTCCTGAGCGGTGACGCTGGACAACGCCGTATGCTGACGAGAATGAGAAGAAGAAAGAGGATAAACTGATGCGGAACGAACCGGTATATGAGATATCTTCGCGGTGAGGGATTGAGCGAGTTGCATCACTTCTAGGGACTCCGTATCCTCCGGATCCAACTTTCCGGTAAACTGCTCAATGGCATCCAACATTAACCGAGAGTCTGCAGCAGAGAAGTCGGAAATCTTGCGCTTCTTTGCAGGCATGATGAAATCGATAGACAGGATAAGAGGCGAGGAATGCAAACGCAGGGTCCGTCAATCGAGGTCGGCTGGGTGGCGGCTCAGGCCAGGCTGACGAAGAAGGGGCTGAGACGTCTCCTGAGAGGACAAGGTCTGGAACCCAGTGAGAACGTGCCCGATTCGGGTCGAATTCGGTCGAATTCGATCGTATGTAGTCGTGCAACCCGAAGTTTTACGACCATCCGGACTATATACGACGGCTGTCGTATTCGGCGGTATAAGGTAGTCTGAAGGACCCAGTAGAATACGACTGCTGTCGATTAGAGTCGTCGGCGGCTGTCAGCAATTGGTTGCAGTAGAGCGATATCGGGTCTATTCGTTTACTAGATTCGAGCACGCTATTGGATGATATGGGTGGAAAAAACGGTATTCCATCGTATAGGATTGTATTACTACATGGTATGATACAGCTACTGTTGGGCGCATTTGAAATCTGTGAACGCTACTTCGCTGGGACACATGCTAAGGAGAGTCGAGAGTGAGAAGAGGATGCTTCAGCGCGCACATATGTAGTCATGAGGCACAGAACCAAACATCA